CACTATATTTCATCAACAATCAGACCTGTTCGTCACGGGTGGAACGAGCATTCATTGTAACAGTCATCTGCATAATGCTACCCCTGCGTCAAAGGGCCATATGACACAGTTGGACCAATCAACTCACCTCGAAAGGTTGCACGGGAATCATGCACGTGCGAATATTGAATGGTGAGTACATCAATTTCGCACGGTTGCTTAAACCAGACAGAGACTTGATGGATTATATGATAACTTCGGCAGAATTCATCAGTACCGAAGGACAGCTGGAGTTGAGGCCCAAATCTCAAGGCAAGAGGATTGAGAACATGCCGATTGGACAACTGCTTTCACAACTTACATGAGTATTTATGTCTAGCGCAGGATGGGCATGGTTCAAGATTTACTGAAAACCATGAATACTGCAACCCATGCTTGCCGTAAAAGGTGACTATGCTGGTCGTAAAAGGCGACTAACGTGATCGGGTGGTCAGGCTCGCTGACTTGGTTGATGCATGTCATCGATCCTAATTGCGTGGATCGATGCTCGTGATATCAATCACTGGATTGTCTGGTCCAGTCTCGATTTTTTTACAGACCGCCGTCATATAGCTGGAATATTGCTGAGTGCGGCGTTAAACAACCAACCAACCAACCAACCAAATCATACTGGTTTGGGATGGAGAACCTATGATGAACAATATCGTCTTCGCCAGGCTCGTGACCAGTCTCTACCATGGGGCAAATTGAATGTGGAATTGTTTGTACAGACACCTTACCATCAACAGGTCAGTTTTCTGGATTTCAAAAATGACACGTCAGCACATTTCAGGGCAAATTACAACGACCGGCAAGCAACACATGTAACAACTTCAATCAGAGCAAGTGCTTTAGACAAAAGTGCAAGTGCCGACAAAGTTGTTCCGCATGTGGAAGCGATGCCCATCCAGCCTGCAGATGTACATCAGCCAGCACTCCTTCCAGAGTTATACAAGCAGGGTCGAACACCAATCACGACACAGGTGCTGGAACGTATGGCAAAGCATTTTCTGGATCAGGCTCATGCTCAGTTTCTCGTTAATGGTTTAAAATATGGCTTCAAGCTAGGATATGATAGTCCAGTGGTAGGTTCTATGGCAGGAAATCTCAAATCAGTTAAAAATAATCAACTTATGTCACACTTAAAAATCCAAAAAGAGTTGGATTTAGGTAGAATAACAGGCCCATTTGACTTCCCTCCTCTACCACATTCTAAGGTTTCACCGCTCGGTTTGGTCCCTAAGAGCGCTCCAGGAGATTATAGATTAATACACCACCTATCTTTTCCAGAAGGCCAGAGCGTAAATGATTTTTTTTATGAAAGTTTTTCTTCAGTTCAGTACTCTACATTTGACCAGGCAGTTAAAAGTGTAAAGAGTGCTTTTTGCTTAATGCTCTGGCCAGGAGACTTTAGGTTATTAGGTTTTACTTTTGAAAACAAATGTTTATCAATGGATTATATCATTCAGCAAGTTGCTCTTTGTTGAAAGATTTTCAACTTTTATTATATAGGCTTCAGCACAAAGATTCGGCAACGAAAAAAAGCATGCTTAATTTCCTGTGCAACGTAGTTCCATCAGGCAGATGCTTCCTACGATGAATGATTAATGCAACATGTGGTCGGAAGCCTCACAACCACCACATAAGATTGACAAAGAACATGAAGAGTAACCTTGGCAGAGATTTTTGAAGGAGTCCAAAGAATTTCCATAATGGGATCAAGGTTTTGGGCTTCAAATGCTGATCTGGAGTTTTATACTGACAGTGTTGGTGGACAAGGCAAAGGTTTTGGTATTTATTTTGCCGGACGAGGGACCTGTGGAGCTTGGCAGAATCATTGGCTACAGCAGGGTTTGATGACTAATATTACCTTCCTTGAGTATTTTCCCATCGTAGTTGCAATTGCGATATGGGGTCCTGAGTTACTACGGAAAAGGGTCACATTCCAGTCTGACAAAGAGGCAGTAGTCGAAATCATTAACAAGATGACCTCAAGATCAGATCCAATTATGTCTTTGGTTAGGCACCTTGTCTTGTGTTGTTTGGAGTCGAATATCACAATTAGAGGCGAGTACATTGAGGGGGGGGGGGGGGAACCCTGCTGGTGCAATTTCACGTTTTCAGTTAGAGAAATTCCGGCAGCTGGCTCTAGATGCAGATTTGGCGGCAACTCTTATACCAGACACAGTTTGGAAGATTGTGGAAGAGTAGTAAACCGATTACTAGTGGCAGCTATTTTACACAACACGAGGAAGGCTTACCAGGGAGCACTGACCAGTTTTTCACGCTTTCGACAACAGTTCAACTTTCCTTATCTTTGGCCGGCACCGTCAGGACAACTTACAACATATATTGCATTTTTTTCCCTACAAGGTTTGGCCCACTCGACAGTGTCAGCACCTATCAGCGATAAGCAACCAACATAAGCTCACAGGATTGCAAGAACCACAAGCAATTTTATCGTCCGAAAGATGTTGGAAGGCTCCAAACGACTCAAGGGTCATAGGGACGGCAGGGCTCCAATCATGTATTCCATATTGATTAAGATCCCCCAAGCTCTTAATGCTCTTGGCAGTTCTCCTTATGAAGCTATTTTGTTTGCAACTGCATTTTTTCAGGGCCTTTTTCGGTTTCATGAGAGTTTGAGAGTTGGTTTACGCTGACCATCTTCATTTGGAATGACCTCTTGGGATTTCAGATGTCACAGTCCAGAGGACATTTTTAGAAGTAACCGTGAGATCGTCAAAGACAGATCAGTTAGCAAGGGGTTGCACTCTCCACATCTAAGGGAATGCAAGTGAAAAATGCCCACTAAGAGCATTGAAGCAATACCTTGCACTTCGTCCAGCTTTTCTGTTTGACCATAGGAACTGTCAACCTTTAACAAGATACCAGTTTGCAGCTATGGTTTCCAATGCATCAGATATAGGGGACTCGACCCATGTAAGTTCAAATCACACACGTTCCGTATTGGAGCAGCCACTACTGCCGCAGACATGGGCGTGTCATCGAAGACAATACAGTTGTGGGGTTGATGGAAGTCAAAGGCGTACTCAACTTACATTAGACTCTAAACTTTGAATGCACAATCAATAACTTCAGGTAATTTGATATTTATGAATAATTACATCTTTGTGAAGTGGGAAATGCGTTTCAGCACTTCATGGCAGATACTGAAGTAAAAAGTAAGGTATTTTTGGCTAATTAATCTCTTACACCATAACAGTAATCACAGTACAAGTATTGGAGGAGATGTGTATAGACACATCTCGTGACGGAACACTTTTGGGCTGGGAGTAGTGATTTTGGTCATATTGTATAATGGTGGTTGTAGAGCCTACAGCAGGCCCCCTATGCGCTTTTCCCTGTGGGACCCATCATTTGGCTCAGTGTGGATTACCCTCGGAGCCGCGTTTACTGTTCTGTCCAGGCACCTTCGGATTGACAGTCAGCCGTGTTTAGCGTTTCCAGGCCCAGGAGTGTTCTCCAGTCCTTGTACTTTTCTGTATATAAACCTGTGGCCTTACATCCAACTCAAATCTTTGTGTGTTTTTCTTGCAGTCGTGCAGCATCTACTTCTGCAAAAGCATTGTCCTAAAATAAAAATATCTTACTTTGGTTAAATCCGCCAGCACGGATCTGGTGCTGACAAACATAGATACATTATTGGGGTGAAGCGGGATTTGAACCCTCGATCAGAGATTTCTGGCGTGCCCAAAAGAAGCAACTCTGCACAGCTAATTGCGCCGCCTCGGACGACTGGGCCATCCATCACCACAATCCAGTACATTACGACAATGAAAACAGTGCCAAGGAACTAGTAATACTTATAAATTAACGATAAGTTCTTTTCACAACATGGTAAAAAATTGCGAAATTGTGTCACGATGGTGGCAAATGAAATGAAAGCGACAAAACTCTTTCAATAATCATCAGAAATAAATCAATATTAATAATAAATGAAATCAACAGAAATATAAGATTGGCATTTATACACAGTTCGAAGTTGTACACTGTATCTGGAATATTCCTCATTTACGATTTATTTTTTGGAAAAAGATGTATAATTATTATTCAATTTGCCATGATTATTACTTTCCATGATTACATTTCCAACTATCATAATTACGCCAGAATCCCATTATATGCCCAAACGTGATTACAGTGTTTCAAATTCTAGATGCCTATTTGTGAGATATATATTTTTCAAATAAAACAAACATTTTGTTTGTACGCCATGAAGAAATCCAAATTCCATTATTGTGCTGGACAAACGTTTCAGGCCAATTTATCCATTCCAAAATGAAGATGACCAAGGCTTTTCTAAAACATATGCCATTAAGGTTCACACTACTACTACTACTACTACTACTACTACTACTACTACTACTACATACACACTGTAATGTAAGCTCACAGAAAACGAAACATACTATTCTTGTTGTAGTATTGTCGGAGTATTAAATACTGTGCAGCCCCGTCATGCTTCTTAAGGTGTTACTTTCAGAGCGAGTTTACATAATACATCTATTTTGTTACCAACATTTCTGACCTTGAAAAAAGCTCCACCGAAATGACATGGCGATAATAATATTCATTCGCGTTACTTTTTGTTTCTCTGCTATGCGAACACAATTTATTTCGATAAGCGATGTGTAGCGGTTTTTATTTATTCAATTAAGAACACATACATTGTTTGGTACAGTGTTTCAATCAACTAAGTTGCGTAATGAATATTTTGAGAGAAATGAATGAATTAATTTACACATCAATGTTACAAAAAAAGTAGCAGTTTGAAACCAGAATAATCATATTGAACATTTATGTATACTGATCATGATCTGTTTGACATGATCGATTGTACCAAAGATACTCCACACGATAAGGTGTACTTTTAAAGCAGTTTGCCTGTATGAAACAAGAGTCATCAGAAGATGACAAATCCCCCGACTCCTAAAATAGCAAAAGGCACCACTTCAGACCCTGGTTAATACATGTACCAAAATCTTTCACGGTTTTCAAGTTATGTCCCGGAAACGAAATACGTACGGACGTTCACCAGATGATGAATATGTCGGACTCGCGTCATTCATTTTGATTACGTCCTTTTTACGGGAGCTAGCATTAGATATACTGGAACATTGCTAAAAGAAGCGCAAAAAAACTCCTAACTGGGTGTGGCTTTGTTCCCGTGTAAATGCTATATATTAAATGCCGAACGGCAAACGGATAAATGGGCTTTTGTCTCATCCTACCGACACTGTGTGATATATGCGCCGTGAATGTGGTGAACTAGCTGCCTACACTCGTCAGGCGTCTGAGTATGAACGCTCAGTTCCAACAGTAGCAGACCCGAAATTTCAAATGAACGTTCGTATTGTTCTCCCTCAATTACCCGATGCAGTTGTCTCTGATGACCAAGACATGGGCTCACAAACGGAAATTCCTGATGTTGGCCCCGAAGATCTTGAGTTTTCTGCCGATTCCGACCCCTTTTCTATCTCATGATCTGTTGTATAATTTGTTAGGTCATTCTATAATCAAATCTGTGATTTACCGCTGCACTTACAATGGAGGAACTCCATCAGTTTCCAAAGACAATGAACCAGAGAAGGGGGAATATATAAAATCATCTAATGAAAAACCAGTTCAAAGTCAAACTAACTGAAACAAGGAAAGATATATCCTGGATAGAACTTTGATTGAAATTACATTAAAGGGCAATCGAAGTCAAAACGTCAAACATCAATTCTGAACCAAATTAAAGTAAAGTCAAAGAAAACAAAAGGGAAAATTCTGAATCAAATGCATGTACTTAATTTCTTGAAGGTCATGTTCAAGATTTGGACTGAAAGGAAAAATAGTGGGACAAGAAAAGAAATGGTTTTGTTTTAAGAGACCGTCTTTGTTGCTGTACACGGATGTTATATCCATGAATATAATTTACTATTCAGTTTCACATCCACACTCTAATGAAGGATGTAACGAATTAATGCTTGTGTATATTCACCTCAAAATCCAACATGCCCACACCATATATTGCCTTGTATGCAATCCTATCAAAAAATGACAATGTGCAAATGTGCAAATTTCCTGCGTTATTATACTATTCATAGTGTGCAGTCAGTGTCAAATGGAAAGCTATTTTCAGTTTGCTGCATAGGGGACGTACACATAGTTGGTTGTATTCATGTATTTTCTCACATTCTCAGCTTGTAAGTCTCACTGAAGGATCGTCACCGGGTGTAAATAAATAACCCCTGCGATGTCGGACTCGCTTCATTCATTTTGAATACGTCGTCACTCGGAGAGCTTACATCAGAGATCGTGGGAATGAGACCTTTGTGAACTCGAGTCTCTGTATAGGCACATGTTTTGGTGTACGTTTGGCCCCTTCTTATCCTTATAAAGGTATTTGACTAACCCTTTGTGTAATCATAGAAAATATATCCTTACATGAAACTCGTTTCATTACATTATGACGCCTTCTTTAATAACTTTGTTTACGGACCGTCCCTAAGGAATGTGGGGGAAATAATTCTTGCATAAAGATGTACTTTTTTATTAAAGCAAGCCTGATAATCATGCTGATTTCCATTTATCATAACATTCTGCTAAAAAAACCAATCCCAAACTGTTTCTTGCCTGACTGAACCAAGTGATTCATGCTAATTGTAAACGACACACATGTGCTTGTTCACAACTACCATTCATAGCTTCATCAGTGCTCCTTCATCAGTACATTTCTGGACTCTCTGGTATATTCATCATTGCGGAGAATAGGTAAGTGTGGTGTTTCTTCCTTAGCCCTCTTCTGGAGGATGTCTAATTTCTGTTACATGTCTTTACAAAGTCGCCGATTGGTGAGTTTACATGTAGGTATGTCCAATGCTGATCCGCTGCTGGTACGTTACCTTCATCGCATTCTTTTTAATGATGCTTTTTGTGTAGATGATCTGCATTACACATAGGGTTAGAAATAATCAGCTTCATGAAAATCGTATGTGCACCAGTGCAAATACCCCTTCACACACACTAGTGTATTTGTTACATCCGGACGGTATTGTTGACATCATAAGGTCGGAATGACTTCACACAAGAAACGGTGTCATAGCTGAAGATTGTTGACGTCGTTAGACAATTTTGGTTTTCTAGGACGGCGGTGGTGATCAGTGCAGTTTTCTGGAGGATTGAGACATAATGACAAAAAAAAAGGATTAAGACATAATGGGAAATAAAAAAAATCATTACACTCTCATTATTAATATGAAACTCGTGTGTGAATTCATGTCTGATTCTTTTCAAAACAAGAATGCTGACACTCGTTTAGTGAAATCAGTGTGATACACATGCTCGAATAATAATCCTCTATATATGCATGTGCAGTAGTGCCATACCGAACAGTGAATCCACAATCACCACAAGAAACTTGACCCAATTGAAAACTGACTGCATATTGCAATTAACATCATAATTATTTGTTAAACACTCCACGCGACAAGTGACGAAATGACCAAATTTTCGGACTCATTTAAAATCATAATCAGTAATATCAGTGTGTGAAATTTCATTTCTCTAAATTAGATAGAATTTTTTTGTCAAAATTGTGCACTTTGGGTTAAAAGCACCAAACTATAGCTAGGCACACATATACATTGAACCATTCCGAACATTTATGGATATTGATATGGATCCACTTCAGCAGCGCCACCTGGTTGTAGAAAATCCAAGATGGCCACCAAAATGGTTAAAATCTCTTATGATGTCAATTTATAGTCAATATATCAAAATTGTTTTGTCAATTTTAGTAATATATGCAAAGTTAATTGCAACAATGTTGTATTTAATTCAAACCTAATATGCAGCACCCACTGGTGGCAAAGAAAATCCAAGATGGCAGCCAAAATGACTTAATCTTTAAAAAATGTCAAATGTTTGTCCACAATATCAGTATCATTTGTCCATTGCAATCATTTCAATCAAATTAGGCTTTCAAACAATTCCAAGTAATGCTCTACTGAATGTGTGAGCGTTTGTTACTAAAATTCATTCATTTGAAGCAAGATCTGGATTCCGTAAGGCAGATCTGGGGAATATATTAGACTGCATGAATTTGGTTTAAATTCTGTAACTGAACACAATACAAGACTGGAATCGAATCTTGCCAGCAATTCTGAGAGATAACAATCAAGGCAAAAAGGTCATATTTGATAAAGATAAAGGCAGCTCTTAGACAGCACCAATGCATGTATGGGGACAGATGCTGCACAAACATCCCACACTACAGAATCTTGTAGTCAGGGGTAGGGAGAGGACATGCAGTAATTTATAGATACCCAAGTGGACAACAATTGGTCAGGCACAAATAAGTGTTATGAACTAACACTACACCTGTAAGAAGTCTTGCAATCCTTTGTAAACTTTACACTGCCGGCCTTGAGTACAGTGCTATGTGAAACTTTGAAGGAAAGTGCTAATTGTAACTAAATAACAGAACCGCAAACACATACATTGAACCAATATTCCTGGTCATACTTAAGTAGGAGGTAAGTTGATATCTTAGGTTCATGGCAAAAATGTCAATAATACTTATACATACATTCCTATTTTTTAAGATATGAATCCATTCCCAGATGATTATGAGTGATTTTGGGGTGATCTAATATACTCAAGAACAAAAGTTCCCGCGACACCAATATTTCAGTGTATTTTCAGTAAAGTTTGGTTTTCAATATTGTATGGAATCAAGTCACAAAAACGCAACTGCAACAGAAAAGCATGCATTCCATGCAAAAGTTGACTTTTATGCAAGCCCCATGTATTTCACTACCAAAGAATGGGTATAAAAACATGTGCGTTAACAGGATTCTATATGCATTGTTTAGCATCGTGCTGACAACAACCACTCAGAAAAACAACAAAATTACTCAATTATTCAACATTACGAAATGCCACGCCTGTCCGAAAATGAGCGTCTGCGAGCCATTGGTATGCTTGAAGCAGGATCGAGTCAACGTGATGTTGCAAGACAATTTAACGTCAACAGAAACACCATTTGGTGTTCATGGCAACGTTGGCAACAGACGAAAGCAGTCAGAGACCATCTTCGGAGTGACAGGGCACGCGTAACCAATAATCGACAAGACAAATGGATTCGAACAACACAACTACGAAATCGATTCCATCCAGCAACAGTGACTGCAAGAAACATCCCTGGCCTTCGACAAATACCTTCACAAACCGCACGTCGTCGCCTCAGATGTGCAGGGATTGTCGCCAGAGGACCCGCCAGACGTCCCATTTTGACACGTCGACATGCAATGGGGACAAGTTCTGTTCACTGACGAGTTTCGTTTTCACCTCAGCCACAGCGATGGACGGATTCGAGTGTACCGACGTCGAGGTGAACGTTACGTCAATCATTGTGTCATGGAAGAAGATCGGTTGGGGGGCGGCAGCGTTATAGTGTGGGGTGAGATTACAGCAAGACAGAGGACCCGTCTGATAGTGGTAGATGGGAAATCTCAATCGACAGCGCTACCGCGACGAGATCGTCGGCCCTGTTGTTCTACCGTTTTTGCGTCGTCATGGCCCAGGCATTACCTTTCAACATGACAACGCCCGGCCTCATATTGCTCGACTTGTTCAGGATTCTCTTCAACTAAACAACGTGAATGTCATCCCCTGGCCGGCTCGCTCCCCTGATCTCTCACCAATCGAGCACATGTGGGATGAGATGGATCGGCGCCTTCGACGTCAACCACGTGTTCCACAGACACTCCAGGAACTTCGAAACATGCTCCAGCAGATATGGACAGATATCCCACAGGACTTTGGGCGACGCCTGGTCCATTCCATGAGACGAAGATGTGTTGCTTGCATCGCAACCAGAGGTGGACACACACGCTATTGATTTGTAAATTGACATTTTCATGGGTTTTTTTTATGAAATCACGCATTTTCTGAAGTCAGTATGGCGAATTAAACCATTTGAACACTTACAGGAGTCTTTTATCTGTTGCAAACCGAAATTGTTTCAGATTTGGTAAAAAACAAAACTTTGCATTAAATCTTATTCAATGTCACAGGAACTTTTGTTGTTCAGAATAATGGATACAGTTCACACGGGTGGTCCAGCTGTGCATCACTTCGGGGCATTCCTCAAAATCAAGGTGATATAACTGTAAAGGTGTTCTAAGCGGCGTTAAACTCACCCACTGTCGTTTACGTCTTATTATCAGATCTGACAAACGCATAAAAAGCTCAATTGTATTCACAGAAACGATGTATGCTTAGCTTTTCGTTGTACCCAAGGGCACCTTTACCATCAAATAACATACTTGCTTAGTACTTACGATCTTACGTCTCATACAACCAGTCAGACGTTGGATCTGTTGATGGGTCAACAACAACCACTCCTGATGCAATGCTGGTTCCAATTGGCGTAAATATTGCACAGGGGGATCTCGTGCCTGTATGCGACGCCCCAGAATATCCCAAACATGTTCAAGGGGGGTTCAAATCTGGGCTTCCGCCGTATGCAACAGTCGGTTTAATGTTCCTCAGGGTGTAGACCGTGTTCCGGTGCCTCCAAACTCTCGTTCTGCCATCAGCGACGTGGAGCAGAAAGCGACTTTCGTCTGACCAATGGATCCGTCTCCAATTTTTTCTGATTCCAGTTCTGTCGTGCAGTACACCATGCTAAACAAGCAGCTTTGTAGTGATATCTCAACAAGGGACGCTTTATGACTCATCTAGCCCTCGGCCCTGCTGCTTTCAGCCGGTTCCTGGCGGTTCTGGTGCTGAAACGACGATTGGGCAACCAGAGCTGTTTCAGACGAGTACTTGCTAAAAAGGGTTCTCGGCCTATGAGACAAAGAAGCTCCCTGTCTTGGCGATGTGTCGTCACAGGAGGTCTTCCGGATCTGGGACGGTCCTGTACATCACGGGGCTGAGCATGTTTCTCGACTAAACGGCTTACGACAGTGTGATGATACCCCAAATTCCGACCAATGGTATTACAAGACATTCCTGCGTTATGCATGCCAAATATTTGCCATCTTGTCATGGAATAACTGTTTAAAAACGAGCTTAAGAAAGCAATATTAACGTTTGGATATACTGCTTTTAGAGATATTCGAAGGTAGCATGCTGCACGGGCATATCATGCATGGCACGTGAGCTTTCGTCACACATAACTGATTACATCACCTCGAGAAAACATGATTCTTCCCGTAATTATATCTTTCATGACTTTCAAATATTGGGACCAAGCAATAATTAAATATATTAGGGTGTGCTTAACCTTTTTCCTTGTGTATGCATTATAGGTATATTATTATTTTACTAATTCGGTATGCATTCAGATACATCCAACATAACTATGACAGAACAAGAAATAGAGCTTTGTTTATCGGAACTTGTCGGAAATGAAAAGGTAAGACGATACGGATAATAAATCTAACTCACAGCATTAATTGTTGAGCTGTCCAGTTAAACTAACGCGCCACTCGGTTATTATTCCATATCGAACAAATTGTTTGTGGAGTGCGACTTGAAAAAGTTTCAACTTCCTGATTTTTTATGGTACCCCTCGAGACTGGATCAGAATCGGACCCCGGCTGTATTGCGATCGAGGGGATGTTAGTTTTGAAATATAGTGTACGTAGCTAAGTTCGACAATAATTAAAAGAATTATTTTCATCGCAATGGGCGACCAGACATTGTCACAACCGTTTGATTCTGGTCGGATTACTGTCGGGCCCAGATCACAATATTGTACGGTTATCCAATTCTGTTAGGTTCCTCATCTAATATGTTGAAGGTTCCGTTACGGTTGTCTGATCCCAAATGGATCACGATCGAGGGGACGAGAGCCAAGTGTAACGTGGTTCAGGAAAAATAAATGAAATATTTTCAAATTGATGCAGGTTGAAAATTCAAACCAAGAGAACGTGGATCTGAGGAAACCACAATGGTCCAACAAGTTCCAGGGTATTATTGCAGTTCTTGGTTACTCTGTGGGTCTTGGTAACCTCTGGAGGTTTCCCTATATCTGTCAAAAGAATGGAGGCGGTAGGTACAGTGTATTGCGTATCAAATTGATTGTTCGTGATTGTAAACGTGGTGTCTTCATGTATGTGATGATCATTGAACAATGATGTGTAAATTGAAGTGACAAAAACCTTTTTATATTCATAGGAAAACGATTGTACGATTCCGACTGTACGATTGTTATGATACATGAGCACGTAATTCATGTGCAATTTATTATTGTGTCAAAGGCGATGGAGAAATGTCAATTAATCTCTTTAAATTTGGAAAACTCTACTACAAGAAAATGATAAGCACCACATTAGGAACCACACCCAGGAAACTTGTTGAATGATGGATTAGCTGTTGCATCACTGTTTCTTTGAAGGGGCGTTCCTGATTCCCTATGTCATCTCAACAGCCGTGTTGGCAATCCCGCTCTTCATCCTGGAGGTTTCTCTTGGACAGTTTTCTGCAAAAGGGCCAATTAAGATTTGGGCAATATGTCCACTCATGACAGGTAATGACAAGTCTACATGTAAGTAAACAATCTGCTTGGAATTAGCACTTATGACGGTACAGGATACACTGCAACTTCGCAGACCACAAGCACTTGTTGCACGCTGCGTGATTAACTGTGTCAGGTTCCATGACAAAGGTGTAAGTTTCTTATTATTACTATGCAAACTGTTTTAGGAATGTGTCTTTGAAATTTCTGTGCCTGTTTCTATTTAGGATGCGTATATATTCCATTGGTTGGTAGCCGTCTTCTGGTTTTCTTTAGTAGGCCTTAGTATCGCATACACGTTATGTACCATATACATGAATAGAATAAACTATCTATGAGTAATGATGCATTAACTGTGTGCCTAGGTCTTGGATTTTGCATACTAGCCGTCAGCTCTATCATCGTCCCGTACTACAGCGTGATGTTTGCCTGGGCCCTCTACTACATCTACAACTCCTTCTCAGCCGTCCTCCCCTGGACCACGTGTGGCAATCCCTGGAACACACCTTTGTGTATGGTTGTAGGCGACAATGGAGTTAATAGTTCAATTGACATAAAACCAACTCAAGAAAACGTCACTACACCACATACAACTGTGAGCATTGGCCATGCGAAGTTTAACAAAACTCAAAAAGCTTCGAATGTTTTTGGTCATACATCAACGGAAGAGTTCTGGCAGTGAGTTTTCTGTTATTACTATGTATTAACCAGTTGTCTTTTAAACAAAAGCAAATCTTCAGTCGTCTCATTTTTTCTTTTTTACTAAGGATCGTGGGTACGAATCCCCGTTCGCCTTGATTATGTTTCTCGGTCTGTCAGCACCATGCCGGTGCTCGTGGGTTTCACCAAAGTTGTAAAAGTCAGAAACCTGCATCATGTTTTGCTTTACTCTCAAGTTTCGCTGACCCGTCATGGTATAACTGGGATAGTGTTTAAAGCAGCATTGAACCCAGCTCATTCACTCCTTTTTTGCACTCACTGGAACAACCCCTTGTGCCAATAAACGTGCATACTTGTTGTTCAATTACGCTCATGATGTAAATTCAAACTATTTTTGGCTCCCAAGACTCATCATACTGCTATCAACCTGTTGGTCATATAATCACAGGTGACTTCTTAATAACAACCTTCGTCAGTTACACAAATATGGACATATTGAGCAGTCTCCTACCAATTGGGACCACAACTTTAAAATCATTACCCTTATTGTCGAAGCACATGCAAAATAAATATGTGTGTGAGTATGGTTTTTTTTACGCCGCTTTTAGCAATAGTCCAGCAATATCACGTAGGGGGACACCAGAAATGGGCTTCACACATTGTACTCATGTCGGGAATCGAACCCGGGTCTTCGGCGTGACGAGCGAACACTTTAACCACTAGGCTACCCGACCGCCCCGCACCAAAGGAGAAGTCGAACGTCTTTCAGAGTGTGTCAAGACTGTACGTGATGTTATCATTGGTGGAATGCACAAACTGAAAGAAACATTGGAATAAATCCATTCTGTCCCAGTCAACTGTTATCCAGAGTCTGGCTGTCCTGCATGAGATATATATAGTTGTTCCCACCGACAAGGCTTCATAAATATGACCATTACATGTAAGCATCACAATATTACTTGTTTGATCAAAGAGCTTGGTTCAAAGGACATATGAAATACTGTCACATATGCCAGTATCTTAACTGAGGAAGTAATCGGCCAAAATGTTTGACTTGACTTGACTCTAAAACCTGAAAACATGTCCCATTCCTCTTTTGACCTGGATAAGCACGGGACCACATGGTACAAGTTTAAAAACTTTGAACCAGAGGAAACGGTTTCACTGGTCTTCTTAGCTAGTTTAGGAAGGTAAATCAGCGGAAGGAAATTAGCTATTTGGCAAGTGTTCAACGTTAATGATATAAACTGAATGCCTATGCTTTATCACGTCTGTACACGTATGCTGTCATTATGTGTCATAACGTCCCCAGGAACAAGGCTCTAGGTGTTTCGACAGGGATAGATGACCTCGGCGCGATGCAACCACATCTCGTGATCTGCTGGTTTATCACATATGTTGTTGTCTTCCTTTGTATCATGAAAGGAATCAAATCCCTTGGAAAGGTGACATCTATTTGTTCTTCTTTAACATTAAATCTGATAAATTTGTTTAGTTTCCATCATATCCGCGAAGATCCGGGTTAGAATTGACATTCAGCAAGCAATGCTTGTCGCAAGAAGCGACTAACGGGAACGGGTGGTATATAGCCGTCATGAAGCTGAAGTATTGCTAAGTGCATAAACAACAAACAAACAGACAACAGCGTACAATGTTAAAACAAAACAAATCATTCATTTTACAAACAATGCAACATACAGGAAATCTGACATGTTTTGTTTGTTGTTTAACGCCGCACTCAGCAATATTCCAGCTGTATGTCGTTGGTCTGTAATTAATCGAGTCTGAACCAGACAGTCTAGTAATTGACATCATGAGCATCGATATACGCAATTGGGATACCATGACATCCATCAAGTCAGCAAGTCTGACCACCCGATCCCGCTAGTCGCCTCTAACGACAAACATAGTTGCCTTTTATGCCAAGCATGGGTTGCTGAAGAACTATTCTAAACTAGATCTTCACGGGTCTAATCTGACATGAACATCACGTAATCCATGAATGATATGCTTCTGAATCCCTTTTTCTGTTTTGCTTCTTCTCTTCATCGTAATCTTAAAATTCATGAAATGTATTGCATCTTTACAGGTGGTGTATGTGACAGCGTTGGTGCCGTATGTCCTACTGTTTGTTTTCCTGGTAAGGTCGTGCACGATGCCGGGTGCTGTGGATGGTATTCTGTTTTTCCTAACTCCAGATTTCACGCGTCTGCAGCATCCCCAGGTCTGTTGAAGTCATACCAATTTTACTATTGTTAAGACAGTTAACAATCATGCTTTTTCATTCAGTGAATCTATGTTTGACCATGATTCAGTTGATAACTACACAATAGCTGTAAATCTGACACCCTCTCAAGAAGGACATCATCTGGATTGGGTATTGGTTGTGCATAGACATATGTGCTTGATGATTATTATTGGGTTTTTTATATACATGATTGTATATTGGTAACAAAAGAAAGCATTTAATGATCCATTCACCTAATTTCACCACTAATTTGTATTTTACGCCCACAAGAATCTGGTTCGGCAGATATCGAAATATATAGAGGAGAGAAAAAATAAGATTTTCCCATGGGATAGAGTCCTTGATTCCTGAAATCTATTACACAATCTACAAAAGTTCACACTCTGATTCGCAACCAATGACATTTTCAAGTATCGATTTCATATGAAATATATCTTCACCAAAATTAAGATACAACTGGTTTATATCTGAGATCGTATATCTATGATATGTAGGTTATATAGCTACTGACACAGATAGAAGAGACACTTTCACTACCACTTCGTCCCTATATGTCACAGCGCGCATTGTATCTACAGGTGTGGTTAGAAGCCCTGGTCCAAGTGTTCTTCTCTGTTGGTCCTGCCTGGGGCACCCTTATTGTCATGGCAAGCCACAATTCATTCAACTCGAATGTCATAAGGTATGTTTGTAGTTTGATTTTAAGTTGTTTTCTTTCTTCACTTCAACCTGTTGGCCACAACAGAAATACAGGATGATGCATCGTCTTGTTGGAAAAGAAAGAAGTTGTCTGCCACAAAAAGTCACGTTGTTGCAATGGGTTTTCTCGAACGTATACTTTTCAATATAAGTATTTACTAATGACTCTATTTGAAGAATACCTTTCAATATTAGCATTTATTAATGACTTTCTTGATCCTCTTAAACTATATAAGGTTTACATTCCACTTTGTATGTTCACGTCGGCTGGCTCCACGCAATTAGGAAGACATAGACAATTTGAAGTTTCCTTCTCATTAGTGAAATTTCCAATGTGAATTTACATTCATTTACAGAGACTCTATCATCGTGACCGTCATTGGCGAGTTGACAAGTGTGTTTGCTGGCTTTGTTGTCTTTGCAACTGTTGGATTTCTGGCTCATAGTTTACAACAACCTGTAGCTGATGTAGTCACTTCAGGTGAGGTTATAGTTGCTGCAATGAATTGTCTTAATATAGTAATCCCAGTACAGAATTGCCGCAGTCGCCCTACTGCCGTGCGTTGTCAGGCAACAAACACATACTTCCTTCTTCTATGAGTGGCGGATGCTACCGGTAAAGCAGGGTATGCTAACCCTTATCGCGTGGTCCATTCATATAATGTTCACAGGTATTTACCTTCTAAACCCGTGAAGATGCACCCGGGGTAGAATAGGTCTTCAGCAACCTTTGCTTGCCGTTAAAGGCCACTATGCTTGTCGTAAAAGGCGACTAACGGGATCGGGTGGTCAGGCTCGCTGACTTGGTTGATGCATGTCATCGATCCCAATTGCGTGGATCGATGCTCATATCAATCGCTGGATTGTCTGGTCCACACTCGATTATTTACAGATCGCCGTCATATAGCTGGAATATTGCTGAGTGCGGCGTTAAACAACAAACCAACAAACCAATCATATGGTATAACGTGTAACGTCCCGTGAAAATTCTTTTTCTACCTGGCACACAAGGTAAGCTGTGTAATGTTTAGTATTGTGTGATGTCGAAATGTTGTGAGTTTGGGTTTGGATGTTTTTTTCTTGTAGGTCCTGGCATAGGATTCATCGTGTACCCAGAAGCAGTTGCATTACTGCCGCTCCCTCAACTGTGGTCTGTCTTCTTCTTTACAACAGTGCTGATGATGGTGGTTGACTCGATGGTATATATGGCCGACAACTCCCTTTCCATAATCATACAAAATCTCTGCATGTGTGAATGAATCACTATCAAGTAGTTATTATACCAGACAATCAAATATGAGCTGAAATACCATATATTCTAGACAACCAGATATTAAGGGAAATATCATATATGGACATGCATTTTGTATGTAATTATTGAAAATAAACCACCCAAATTATATTACATTAAGAAGGTTTGTCATTTTTATATTTCCGTTGAAGTGTTTGTGAAATACCTTATATGGCCATGCATTTTGTTTGTAAATATTGTTCGGGGGGGACACAGATTACACTACACCGTGCATAAATCAGGCGTGGTATGCATTAATGTGAGGTGACAAGACGTTTGAATGTCATTGCTTAAATATATCTATCGAACTTCCGTTGAAGTGCGTGGTTTTTTTAGAATTAGAGTTGGGGCATGTTGAGAAATACCTTATATGGCCACAGATTACATTACACAGTGCATAAATTAGGCGTGGTTTGCTTTAGTATAAGATGAAAAGATTGTTCGAATTTCATTGCTTAAATCTATCTATCGAACTTCCGTTGAAGTGCGTGTTTTGTTATGAATTATAGTTAGGGCATGTTGAGACAGCTATCGGTTGTTTGGAAGATCTATTGCCACGGCGATTTCACATCAAGCACCTGCAGACTATCATGGCTGCTGTGTTCTTGGGAGCTGTGATCCTTTCTGGCCTTGTTTTCACAACTCATGTAAGTATGGTGCTTGAACTGAAACTTAGCCAATAAATTACTTATACTTACCAGGATACATAAAAGGGTTGTATCAACACCGCCATTAACCATCTTTCCTTAAGTGCACCGTACCATGTTGTAGACACAAAATCACATTGAGTTTTCAAAATATAAGTATTTTTAAAGGCTGGAGTAATTTATCGTCTCTCTCAACTATTATTGTGTGCCTTGGAACACCATGAGGTGAGGTCCATATTCAATATTTGTTTTTGCACATGTAATATTTGTGTCAGCACATTTTGCAGTATAATTCACAATACTTTGTGCTTGCCAATAAGACATATACATGTATTGCAGGGCGGAGTCTACGTTTTCCAGTTAGTTGACTGGTACTTTGCGGCAGTGGCTTGCTACGTCATTGCTGTTCTCGAGTGTGTGGCTGTTGGATGGTGTTACGGTAGGTATACTCTTCCATATAAACAAAATTGCCGTGTTCTAAATTTCAATTTTAATTTGAAATTCAACCATATAGTGTCAGTTTCAAATAAAGTATTAATCAATAATCAATAAGTAAACATCAGTATGAGAACATGCCTATTAAGTCATACACAGTCAATTTGTCTTTGTTTAACTTTATTCTACTACTTGAGATTGAAGTCGAGAAAATGTTCAATAGTGATTCTTCTCATGTTTTAAGAAAAATTGTTTTTTTATTCTGCAATTACAAAATGAATTCAAGGTAGAGGTGTATTTGCCATTGATTGAGTCAGTCAATTGGTCTTTTTGACGTTATTATAAACGATACCAGCTTTACGCTATATGTGCTGTCAGCTTCCGTACAAAGAGAGATAGATTGTCCAGCAAATGTACCACCATATCCGTGTCTCAAAGATTAACCATAATCCTTTAATATAATCATGGAAGGACTTTTTTATATTCACATTGAGATCAGTGGAATTACTACCATGTGGATTCTAAAAAGCGGATTTGCTTGTCTACTAACAATCTCTGAAAAGAAGCAGGTTCAATTCTGACAAAACATTTTTAGCTTTCAACTTTTACATTACTTTCCATGTGACAAACTAAAGGGAAAACTTCATTCCTTGATCCATGGGGCTTTTGTTACAAAACGTGGTGACCATAGATATAGTAACATATCTATCGTCAGAGGTTCAGGTCAATTTGTCCAAAATGAAAGCATATGCCGTCTGAAGTTTACTGAGAACACTATATGTGAAATGCTGGACTTCCTCATTGATAACATCTATGTACAATTTGGGGGTGAGACTTTTAGGCAAGAAGTAGGCATCTCAATGGGAACTTATTGCGCTTCCCTTCTTGTGTATCTGTTTCTGTATGCATATGAACGAGATTTTTGCTCGGATTGGCAAAGTCAAAACATGGCAAACAAACATACATGAATGTGTTTGTTTTTACTGTTAAAATGACTGTGTATGCACATTATTCCATGCATATTCGACCCGTGAAGATTCCGGGATAGAATAGGTCTTCAGCAACCCATGCTTGCCGTAAAAGGCTATTATGCTTGTCGTTAAAGGCGACTAACGGGATCGGGTGGTCAGGTTCGCTGAATCGGTTGATGCATGTCATCGATCCCAATTGCGTGGATCGATGCTCATGAAATTAATCACTGGATTGTCTGGTCCAGACTGGATTATTTACAGACCGCCGTCATATAGCTGGAATATTGCTGAGTGCGGCGTTAAACAACAAACAAACAAACAAACCATGCATGCTTCGATCGTGTGTTGAGCATCCTGAGGTAAACTACTTTACCCACTCTTCGAAACGTTTCAAACCTCGTTTCACCTCGTTGGCTAGATCACTTACCGGTAGCTGTAAGGGAAGCGTTTGTGTGGTATTGCACAACATGTTTTGTATATATTATTCTCACACGAAAAATATCACATCAAAAAATTAAAAAATAATGTATTTGACAGGTGTCAAGCGTTTCTCTGCTGATGTTCAAATGATGATTGGGAAACGCCTGCCTGTGATCTACAGAGTAGCATGTTTCATCGTCGTCCCTGCTCTCTTGACTGTAGGTGCTTTGATGTCTAATTATTCTAGTATTCGATTTTACTAAGACAACTATTTCGAATCCAATTGGCTTATCGTCCCTCGGAATGCCTCACTGTCAGTGGTTAAAAGCAACCTTACTGTTATGTAACTGTGGCCAGAACCACATATTTGCATAAACAAATCCAAAGAGCGTAAACTATTTATTTTTGAAATCTGTTTCAACTTTCAATTCAGTGATCATAGTGGTTTAGTATAGCCCTGAAAGCGACCGAGTGTGATCTATTTAACTTAATATGTGAATCGAACTTCCACTTATTTGCTTCTGGATGAAAAAAGCAACTTCAGAATGTTGATCGTAACTAAAATATGTCTTTGCAGACAGCTTTGGTGTTGACGTTGGCTTCCTACAAGCCTCCGAGATACGGGGAGTACGACTATCCTATGTCTGCCGTCGTCCTCGGCTGGTTCCTTGCTCTTGTGTCGGTTGTTCCTATCCCAGTGACCATGGTCATACAAATACTCAAGATGGAAGGATCCCTGGCTCAGGTGGGAGATGTGCATAGTTTTATTATATTCTGTGAAATGCACAAAGAGACGTTTTCGCGTGATTAGACCCAGTGTAGAATGGGTCCCAGTAATCTGTTGCTTCTCGAAAAGGCCGGTTGGATTTAGTTGCGGGCTAGGTTGATGTGTATCAAGCTATGATGGCATGGGACGTTGTTCATAATATCGACCACTGGTGTGCCTTGCCAACGCTCGAATATGTACATACTATACAGATTTACCTGCGACAAAAACAAGAAACAACAACAAATATTTAACATATTTTCATCATGAAGAGTGGAGAAAATATGTACCTGGCGATTTGGGTGTTCTGAAAACAGTAGAACTACTTGATAGTGATTCATAAACACATGCTCATGATATTGTCGGAATCGTACAATCGACTCTACTTTTAACAGAGATTTCGTATGAATGTTATTCAGAATACAACGGAAACTTTGATGGATAGACATGAAACTTTGATGGATAGACATGAAACTTTGATGGATAGTCATGAAACTTTGATGGATAGACATGAAACTTTGATGGATTGCAACTTCTTGTTTGAAACTTTTCATCCCTTCCTCGGGTGATTATGTAAGGTCAACAACTTCTTGTTTGCAAAGACGTTTCAGGGCTACTTTTGGTCCCTTTATCATGTTATAAATATGTATCTTATGAAGGGGCTACAAGTAGGTCTGAAACGTCGTTGCAAAGATAGAAAAAGACGTCTGATTATAATAGGTTTTCCTATCAAACTTTACAGACTTTATTCACGTGGTGTCAAGAGTCAACGGTATCGACAGGTGGCACCTCTCATTTGCCCATGTTTCATTAACTATTACATAACGCAGTTGTATGTTTATCATCAAGTAATATGTATTTATGTGGTGCAACGTTATAAACTAATCCTTTCTCTTTGAATTTCACGACTTCTATAAAGTGTCCACTTAGGCGAATAAGTTGCACACGTGTCACCAATTATATACTAATATACTACTGGTAAGCCAGGATAAGTTGAGTTGTGACCTGACAATTAACCTCGTATGACTATGTATGATGGCTGCCTACTTGCACATACCATTGTGAAACAAGGGGTAATGGGTGGTCCGCGACAAGTAGTACGATGACTATATGCATGTCCTGTCTCGGCTTACAACGAGTTCTTGTGGCGAGTTCAATAGGTACCCGATGACTGTGGAAACGGTGGCAGCACATATACATATATAAACAACAATTGAGAAGTATCGTGACAATGAAGGAAATTCATTTGTTGTAGAAATGGAATACTTTTCACCCACGAGCGCAATAATGAATAGTGGCATGTCATTCATTGTGAAGGGCGGTCGGGTAGCCTAGTGGGTAAAGCGTTGGCTCGTCAGGCCGAAGACCCGGGTTCGATTCCCGACATGGGTACAATGTGTGAAGCCCATTTCTGGTGTCCCCCGCCGTGATATTGCTGGAATATTGCTAAAAGCGGCGTAAAACCTCACTCACTCACTCCCTCATTGATGGTTGAGACCTTAACGTAGTAATAGGTGACTCAATGACATGTCCCGTACTTACCCCCATTAGATTGTTTGTGGGGTTTCAACATACTGTAAACGTAAGGTTGCTAACTGGAAATATATTGAAATAACTGGATAACCATAGCAGTAGTCTTTACATTCTGATATCTGATATCTGATAGCCTGTATAGCATAGTATAATCGTATAGTAAAATATCACACCCCTCTATATACATGTAGACAAGGAGTGACACCCGCCATCGTGGTTCTTATTCAAGATTTCGCACTCGGATCGAATCATAGCTCATTATCGCATGAAATATGAATGTCACTTATTTCAACCTATTGGAACTTGCTAAACAAACCATAGGCTATATAATCGTGTTCATCTGTGGTCACCTTACCTCGTATTTATTTTAAAACAACCGGGTGTCACTCCTAGTCTATATGTTTATAGAGGGGAGTGCTTTTTTTCTATACGAATATATTATGCTATACACGCTATCATCGAGTTCCTGTGCCTCAAAATGGGTCATTTTGGGACAGTGTGGTGCACATGCGACCACTTTTCATCAGTAAAAATGATTGGGCGGTTATCGGTATAATTTTTATTTGCACGGAAGTACTGCATAAGCTTTGCAACAATATATTTCCGTTCCATTAACACCTTGCGATTTGACTGCATTTTACGCCATTTAAATCATATGTGTTAAGCTTTATCAAGAACCGTCATAATTCAAATCAGGTTTGAACATAGATACTGGAAGATTTTTCACACTACATACGAATTATGTACAAATTGGCGAACAGCGCACTGGTCGAAATCGTCGCGACAAACTTGGGCTAATGCCACAACTCTCGCCTTTGTCACGATTGATACCTTGTGATGTATTGCCCTGTAGCGTAGATACTGACAGACCACTGGCAATGGTAGCTCTTGAGCTCTTGAGTGAGTGAGTGAGTGAGCTCTTGAGTGAGTGAGTGAGTGAGTGAGTGAGTATGGTTTTACGCCGCTTTTAGCAATATTCCAGCAATATCACGGCGGGGGACACCAGAAATGGGCTTCACACATTGTACCCATGTCGGGAATCGAACCCGTGACGAGCGAACGCTTTAACCACTAGTGGTAGCTCTTGACAGGGGGGGGGCACGGGTGGCCCAGTCATGCAAGGCACCGCGATTCGCTGTTCAGAGTTGCGTCCCTTGGGCACGCCAGAAACCTATGATTGTGGGTTCGAATCCCGGTTTTCCCCTATTATGTTTCTAGGTTTGTCAGCACCGTACCCGGGCTCTTGGGTTTCACCAGAGGTAAACGTCTGAGACCTGCATCACTTCGGGCTTTCCTCCCACATTAAGCTGACACGCCGCGATATAACGTAAATACTGTTAAAAGCGGCGTTAAACCCAACTCACTCACTCACTCAATGCTTGAGATGTATTTGTGCATTCTTTCTCGGAGTAATTTATGACATTATCGAGCCTAAGAATGTAATCTTGCTTTGACATTAACTTCTATCAAACGACTTTTAGAGCCAACTTTTCTCAAACGCGTTTTGTGAGCTGCTCATTCTTGATTACCAGTAGTTTATTGCTAACATTTGTCGTGACTGATAATTCTGTGTGTAAAGTATGGATTCAGTACAACGTTTTATATTTACCATGTGTTATCGGGACATCACATTTGTATATGGTCTATCTTGTTATTGAATGAGGGGCGGTCGGGTAGCCGAGTGGTTAAAGCGTTTGCTCGTCACGACGAAGACCCGGGTTCGATTCCCGACATGGGTACAATGTGTGAAGCCCATTCTGGTGTCCCCCGCCGTGATATTGCTGGAATATTGCTAAACACGGCGTAAAACCATACTCACTCACTGTTATTGAATGACATCGTGTTTGACGCATTAACTGTTTTATGTCTGTCTATTGTTTCAGCGTATTAAAGCTTCTGTGATGCCCTCGCGTGCGTGGCTGAGATTAAGACGGCAACATGGACTGGAAGACGAACAAGAGTCCATATCTGTGAAGGATAACTTCCTGTTTATGATCGGACGTTAGTCCCACACCAGTGCATCATGTTGTTTCAGTATCTCCTGCTCTATACCTGTGAATGTGTTCCCAACTTGCTGACTATTGGTAAGCGTATTCTTGGAAGGAAGTGGTGAATGGATGGGCAATTGTCTTAAAACTTGTCATATGTGGATTTCCGGTTAGAAGATGTAAGCTGCACCAACGAACTTGGTCATCCCAATCAATTGTTGTTTGTTTAAAAATCTAAACTAATTTGAGATCAACGTCTCAAAAATGCGCAAAGGAAATAACTTTGTGAACGAAGCAAAGGAAATGTTAAACGGTTACCTTTGATTGGACACAAACTTTCAACAATAAAAATACTTTCCAATATACCCGCAAAAGAGATATTAGATATAAATATATTTATGTAATCATATAAATAATCAACAGATGATAATCGATTGTTCACAATTGGTACACATCATTGCCATTAACCTAGGTTCCATATGGCACTCATGGAACAGTAGATTCTCAGGGTGAAAGGTCATTTCAATATCTTGTATGGCCACCAGTAGAGTCTAAAACTGACTGACATCATCGTCCCGTGGAAGCGAACAGATGCAGAATTGTGGCCTGGGGAATGTTCACCCACTCTGGCTGCAGTTCTTGCGCTAACTGTCTGGGGTTGTTACTGTTATCTGTTTGTTGCTGACGTGCTCGCAGCAATGGTCCAGTGCATCCAATAAATGTTCGATTGAGTTTAAATCTAGAGACCTAGGATATGGCAGGACCTGGATGTTGTGATTCCTAAAAAAGCTGTTGTCAGTCTTGCCTCGTGAGGTCGGGCATTGTCTTGGAAAATGACGTTCGCTTGTTGCGTAATGGGAAGGACGTGTGACTGAAGAACCTTCATCCGTGTAACGTTGAGCCGTTAAATTCCGCAGTTGCACCAAGTCTGCTGTACCAGTGTAGGAAATGGCTGCCCCCATCACCACACCACCACCACTAAATCTGTCCTCTTCCTGTTTGCAGTTTCTTGCATAACCTTCCCCGCGACGCCGGGAAAAGACGATGTTTACCATCTGCACAGCGAAGCATAAAACGTGACCCGTCACTAAACGAAACGTGTCTTCATCGCAGTACTCTGTGACCTTGACAACCATTAACGTTGCAGGCAACGATGCAGGTCCGTCAAAATGACACCCGGTCGTCTTGCGCGAATACCTTCAGCGCGTAAACGGTTCCTCACTGTCTGGGCTGATGTCCTACGCAATCCTAGTATTGGCTTAGTTGTAGAGATGGGCGTGGTGGTTCTTTCACTTAAGTGACGTAGCCTTGGGAATCTACTCTAGTAGTGACACGTTGTCGTCAGGATCTGGAAAGGTCCTTTGTGTCCCGTGTGTCTGATAACGGTTCTATAGTTTTGTAATGGTGCTTAGTGCTACGTGGAAAAACCTTGCTGCAGCTGAAGATAATTCTCCTGTTTGAAGTCGGGCGATGGCGTTGTTGCGTTGGACTTCCGTCAGTCCTGGCATGTTTTCGCTGTTAGATTGTGATGTCATTGAAATGAAAACCCAACGTTTTCATAGCCGAAAAAAGTGATGTTGCACGTGCATGTCATGTTGATGTGTTTCGGCGCCAGGCTCTCATGTGGTTGTGTTTTTGCGATTTGCCATCTTTTCACTAATTTTTTCAGTACCTCATTCTTTCCACACAAATCAATCCCAGCTCATGCAGAAATGGCAAATTCATTTTGGGTATTAATTCAGTCCGGATGCCGTGCCGGTTACACTCTGTTAGATATTTACAATTTTACTACCTTTGCTTTTCCTTTTATCCAGAGTATATATGAGTTATTACTCCATATAATCAAAGTAAACAAGAAAATATAACACTGCAAAACGTTTTAACAATGTTGAAATAATGCTTGAATAAAAAGAATCGTGACATTTATACAGCCCTAAAGGACAAGTTCGGGTAATAAAAACAATTTGATTGTCATTCATCAATTGGGCGTGATTACAAACGAACTTTTTCTGAAGTAAATTAATTACGATCCCAAATTTCATAGCCTTTTCGGTGCAATATAGATGCTTAAGAACGGTTGAAAAATCGTCAAGAAAACGTCCAATTACCCGCGCAAAAAGACGTTTTCGTGTTTGCAGTGGAGTAATGTCTCTTTTTTAATATCCGAACACTGAACACCAGACAGGAACTCTCTGATTCAGAATGATACGTGGACAATAACATGGATTACCTGAACTCCATGTTACTGAGATCGAATTCTCGCAGAATGCTCAAACTTCACAATCATTTTATGCACTCTTGTGAAGCTTATGACCTAATCTCTTTTCTCTCGTATTGATTGATCTCCCTTACTGGTGTTCTTGAACAAGTCTTACAGCACGCTTCTATGTATATGGCCAATTTGCACCAGAATTGCACCTTAAAAGCTGTTAGAGGTTTGAACCTTTACGTGTACAAGACATATTGGACCCCTAACGTTGGTGATATTCTGGATACTCAGTGTCACATGTTAAACGCATATGACAGCCACGCATAAATGCGATATTGGTTAGTGTTGCTATTTTTACATCTGTCATATCATTGTTTTTTACAGCTGTCATTAAATCTTTGCTCCTTGCTTATAAGTTTCAAGTTGAAAAGGAAATTATGTTTTATATTAAAGTGTTGCTCTCTCATTCCATTTGTGAGTATTGTTTTATTAAACTTCGGATATTCATTCATCCTATCATGTTTTTTTCGTCATTTGTTGTTAAACTCTGGGCTTAAATTTGGATAAAATGTTACTCAAATAAATAGACATCATAAGTAATTAAGCCCAGGGCTTTATAGCGGGCAGTCCCGGTAACCATTCATGGACTGACGCACAAACTGTATGAAGGTTCAGCATGAGGAATACAGCGTTACAACATTCTCCAATACCAGTTCATACCATTACCACGATATATACCTATTCCTTAAACTCTACTGAAAAATATTTGCATGTTTAAAAGCAGAATCCATTGAACGATTACGACGATATCGTAAGCATGAGTTTATGAACCAATATTGAACAGTGATGACACTAGGTGTTCACGAAAAGGTGAGCGTATCCTGCTTCAGCGGTGGCACCCGTCACAAATTCGGACATATAATTAGGATCCTGCAATAGAAGCTTGCAAATGGCCTACACGGTTTCCTTTTGTTTACAAATTCGAAACTTGTATTATCACGAGAAAGATGTAGCTGCATTATGTCCATTTTTGAAAACGGTGCACGGTGACACCGAAGGCGATGCTGTTAATTAAACCTCAACGTAAGCGATAAAACCCCTTTCCATAAAAGATAATTCTGCCCAAACAGATCTGAGTGAAGTTAATCCTTTTCATGAACAAGAATTGACTAATAATGATATGACGCTTATGACGAGATGCATGCAATTCTGTGAGATGAATACAGTAAACGACCTATGTGGGGCAGTGTGTGATTGGGACGTCTTGTTTCAATGTGAAGATGCCCATCGTCACGTCAAGGAACACTGTTTAAGGCGCTGCATGTTGTGTAAACGTTTAAGCATTAGGTTTAATGATGCCCGAATGATACGTAATTACTAACGAATATCTATTACATTTGTAGTACGTTTAGGACACCACAGCGTCATTCTGAACAGTTATTGCAAATGGATTTAATGATACGTACGTTAACACTGTAATGCAACATTAACAGTTGATTACACATTTCGCCTAAACATCATTGTTGGGATTCTCGTGTATCTTTAGTCCAAAGTAACCTACGCTTGTCATATGAACCGACTGTGATATAAGCTAGATTGTGTTTCATCGTGCCCAATGACGTGGTCTGTTTCACACGCTTTCGTTTATTGGTTACAATGGTCAAAATTGACTATTGGATTTGACCCAAAAAATTACAAACGGTAGCAAAACTGAAATCACTCACAGAAACTCTGCAAACTAAGAGTTCAAAACACAACACTCAATACATCACCAGCGTATATCCAATCCTTGTTTGTTTTCAGCCACCATGTATACTTTCTTTTGCCCGCAGTGACATATTACTAGTACACTGAACAAACAAGTTAGGAACATGAAATAGTTTTATATACCCTACACATTTAAAATAACCCAGTCTACACTACAAAATAATATCCCCAAAACTGCTGATGTTCCCTAACTGTTTTGTTCAGTATATGTAGCTGGACTATTTTTCTCATTCTCCCTAACACTTACCGCAAATCGTTCATGACAATTATGTAACTTTAGCTGTTTAATATAATGTGTACATGAAATTGGCACAATAAATTATTGACGAAATCCGAGGCACCACACTTAAAATATATGTGAATGTATTTCATTTCCAAAGTCCTGTGCTGATTACTTTGGAAGCGTAGTAGTGCCACAGTCTAAAAATGTTTCATCTACGTAAACCTACAGCTGTTTGTTTGTTTGTAGTCTGGAGAACATTTTGTGCTCTCCTCTCTCTGTTACGGTTGTAAGAGAATGTGGCGTGTGTCCTTCTCCAGTAACTTCGACACATTGAAATAAAGATTTACTTTATGCAATGTTTAGATAATACCTTAATATTAAGACACGTCAAGGTAGAAAGTCAAATCGGTCATTATTAATTAAGCCAGTGGTTATATATAACTGACCCGGAACTAGTGTCGATTACTCAAGAAAATATTGTTACCCAGATGAAAGTATCTTCTACGTAGATGTGAGCCGTATCATCTACATAGATGAAAGCATCATCTCCGTAGATTGTTAGTATCATCTACGCAAATGAAAGTATCTTCTACTTAAATGTAAGTATCTTCAACGTAAATAAAAATATCTCCTCCTTAAATGTAAGTATCTCCTACGTAAATGTAAGAATCATCTACGTAAATGAAAGTATCTTCTACGTAAATGTTAGCATCAACCACGTAGATGAAATTCGAAAACAGCATAAAATTGTGACACAAGCATTCATAGTCTTATATGTTGGTATCATGTTTACATCATGTTTAGGGTCAATATGATCTGGTCTGAGGGTGAAACAAATGTGAAAATTAGAGAGCATAGCACAAAAAGGTCAAGAGTGTTTAGCTGGCATCGCAACTTGAAGGCGTTTGTGGATGGTACCGTCGCTGGATATGGGTCATCATGTGAACAAAAATAGAACACTTAACAAAAGCTGCTGTCAGCACTGATAATGAAATGTTGCTGCTTCAATTTGAGAACGTACTCCATTTGAACAATAATCTTAGACTGCAACCATAAAACTATATGTTGTCGCTTGTATGACACTTCAGCCATATTATGGACACACAGACGTGTGCGCGGAGAGAGAGAAAGGACAATTCCATCATTGTCTGCATGTACCAAAATTGCATGCCTTGAATCCTCAAGTAGACATTATTATGCAAAGTGGGGAGAAGGGATAGCTACTGATCACAGCACAACGGTCAAAACAAGGTAACAATTTTAAATAACTACACATATGCCAAATTTCGATATTGTTTCACAAAATTGGCTGTATAATGACAATTTAACAAGAAATCAGGTTTGCATTACCCCCACATATTGTTCAACAATATATACTGTTAAGCACAATTCAACTTATCCTGGCATACCAGTAATTGCAGAAAAGTCAAGAACATAGCAGCCCGTATTATCACCAGAGTACCCAAGAGGGCACTAATGTACTACAATCTCTCCACTGCGCAAGAACAGAACCAGAAGTGTCCAGATTACCTCACGGAACTCACAAGCAAGTACTCTCAACCATCAGCCTTACGATCTGCTGACAAACATCTGATAGCTATCCCAAGGAAGAAACTGAAATCTTTTGGGCAGAGATATTTATACAATTATTTTGTGTACAGTTATTTAGATCTACTTTCTGACAAATAAGACAAAGAAAACATCACAGCATTGTGTACACTTTCTAGCTTTTTTTGTTTTTTTGTTTATTTAAGTGACAGCATAATTAGTAGAAAGAATCATACGTACATGTGTTCTATAAATTATTGTAGGATTGACTGAATTTTGTTATGGGTCACTGAGGTATGAATCGAAAAACCGATGTACATACTGTATGAATCTGCGTATGATTAGTTGTCATTGAATGCCAAGCATAGGTAGCTGACAGTCACGAGTTGCCTGTGGGTAGGTGTGAGAGGCTTATATTACATGTATTACATGCTGAATGTCAAATCTTGCTTTTTTGAGTGCCAAGAAATATTACACTATATGTGGGGGTAATGCAAACCTGATTTCTTGTTTAATTGTCATTATACAGCCAATTTTGTGAAACAATATCGAAATTTGGCATATGTGTAGTTATTTAAAATTGTTACCTTGTTTTGACCGTTGTGCTGTGATCAGTAGCTATCCCTTCTCCCCACTTTGCATAATAATGTCTACTTGAGGATTCAAGGCATGCAATTTTGGTACATGCAGACAATGATGGAATTGTCCTTTCTCTCTCTCCGCGCACACGTCTGTGTGTCCATAATATGGCTGAAGTGTCATACAAGCGACAACATATAGTTTTATGGTTGCAGTCTAAGATTATTGTTCAAATGGAGTACATTCTCAAATTGAAGCAGGAACATTTCATTATCAGTGCTGACAGCAGCTTTTGTTAAGTGACTATTCTTGTTCACATGATGACCCATATCCAGCGACGGTACCATCCACAAACGCCTTCAAGTTGCGATGCGAGCTAAACACTCTTGACCCTTTTGTGCTATGCTCTCTAATTTTCACATTTGTTTCACCCTCAGACCAGATCATATTGACCCTAAACATGATGTAAACATGATACCAACATATAAGACTATGAATGCTTGTGTCACAATTTTATGCTGTTTTCGAATTTCATCTACGTGGTTGATGCTAACATTTACGTAGAAGATACTTTCATTTACGTAGATGATACTAACATTCACGTAGAAGATACTTACATTTACGTAGAAGATACTTACATTTACGTAGATGATTCTAACATTTACGTAGATGATACTAACATTTACTTAGATGATACTTTCATTCACGTAGAAGATACTTACATTTACGTAGAAGATACTTTCATTTACGTAGATGATTTTAACATATACGTAGATGACACTAAAATTTACGTAGATGATACTTTCATTCACGTAGAAGATACTTACATTTACGTAGAAGATACTTACATTTACGTAGATGATACTAACATTTACGTAGGAGATACTTACATTTAAGGAGAAGATATTTTTATTTACGTAGAAGATACTTACATTAAAGTAGCAGATACTTTCATTTACGTAGATGATACTAACATTTACGTAGATGATACTAACATTCACGTAGAAGATACTTACATTTACGTAGAAGATACTTTCATTTACGTAGATGATTTTAACATATACGTAGATGATACTAACATTTACGTAGATGATACTTTCATTCACGTAGAAGATACTTACATTTACGGAGAAGATACTTACATTTATGTAGATGATACTAACATTTACGTAGGAGATACTTACATTTAAGAAGAGGATATTTTTATTTACTTAGAAGATACTTACATTTAAGTAGAAGATACTTTCATTTGCGTAGATGATACTAACAATTACGTAGACGATGCTATAATCTACGGAGATGATGCTTTCATCTATGTAGATGATACGGCTCACATCTACGTAGAAGATACTTTCATCTGGGTAACAATATTTTCTTGAGTAATCGACACTAGTTTGCGGGCAAAAGAAAGTATACATGGTGTCTGAAAACAAACAAGGAATTGGTATACGCTGGTGATGTATCGAGTGTTGTGTTTTGAACTCTAAGTTTGCAGTGTTTCTGTGAGTGATTTCAGTTTTGCTACCGTTTGTAATTTTTTGGTCAAATCCAATAGTCAATTTTGACCAGGGTAACAAGTAAACGAAAGCGTGTGAAACAGACCACGTCATGCATTGTGCACGATGAAATTCAATCTAGCTTACATCACAGTCGGTTCATATGACAAGCGTGGGTTACTTTGGACTAAAGTAACACCAGAATCCCAAAAATGATGTTTAGGCGAAATGTGTAATCAACTGTTAATGTTGCATTACAGTGTTAACGTACGTATAATTAAATCCATTTGCAATAACTGTTCAGAATGACGCTGTGGTGTCATTTAACGAACTACAAACGTAATTAGGTATTTGTTAACTACTACGTATCATTCGGGCATCATTAAACCTAATGCTTAAACGTTTACACAACATGCAGCGCCTTATAACAGTGTTCCTTGACGTAACGATGGACATCTTCACATTGACACAAGACATCCCAATCACACACTGCCCCAAATAGGTCGTTTACTGTATTCATCTCATAGAATTGCATGCATCTCGTCATAAGTGTCATATCATTATTAATCAATTCTTGTTCATGAAAAGGATTAATTTCACTCAGATCTGTTTGGGCAGAATTATCTTTTATGGAAAGGGGTTTTATCGCTTACGTTGAGGTTTAATTAACAGCATCACTTTCGGTGTCACCGCGCACCGTTTTCAAAAATGGACATAATGCAGCTACATCTTTCTCGTGATAATACAAATTTCGAATTTGTAAACACAAGGAAACCGTGTAGGCCATTTGCAAGCTTCTACTGCAGGATCCTAATTATATGTCCGAATTTGTGACGGGTGCCACCGCTGAAGCAGGATACGCTCACCTTTTCGTGAACACCTAGTGTCATCACTGTTCAATATTGGTTCATAAACTCATGCTTTCGATATCGTCGTAATCGTTCAATGGATTCTGCTTTTATAAGAGATTTCATATGAATATGCAAATATTTTTCAGTAGAGTTTAAGGAATGGGTATTAATCGTTGTAATGGTATGAATTGGTATTGGAGAATGTTGTAACGCTATATTCCTCATGCTGAACCTTCATACAGTTTGTGCGTCAGTCCATGAATGGTTACCGGGACTGCCCGCTTTAAAGCCCCGGGCTTAATTACTTATGATGTCTATTTATTTGAGTAACATTTTATCCAAATTTAAGCCCAGAGTTTAACAACAAATGACGAAAAAAACATGATAGGATGAATGAATATCCAGTTTAATAAAACAATACTCACAAATGGAATGAGAGAGCAACACTTTAATATAAAACATTATTTCCTTTTCAACTTGAAAATTATAAGCAAGGACATGTGGAAAATTTAAATGACAGCTGTAAAAATAGCAACAATAACCCATATCGCATTTATGCGACACTGAATATCACAAACATTAGGGATCCAATGTGTCTTGTGAAGGTTCAAACCTCTAACAGCCCTTAAGGTGAAATTCTGGTGCAAATTGGCCATATACATAGAAGCGTGCTGTAAGACTTGTTGAAAAGCACCAGGTAAGGTAGATCAATCAATAAGAGAGAAAAGAGATTAGGTCATAAGCTTCACAAGAGTACATAAAATGATTGTGAAGTTTGAGCATTCTGCGAGAATTCCATCTCAGTAACATGGAGTTCAGGTAATCCATGTTATTGTCCACGTATCATTCTGAATCAGAGAGTTCCTGTCTGGTGTTGGGATATTAAAAAAGAGACATTACTCCACTGCAAACACGAAAACGTCTTTTTGCGCGGGTAATTGGACGTTTCCTTGACGATTTTTCAACCGTTCTTAAGCGTCTATATTGCACCGAAAAGGCTATGAAATTTGGGATCGGAATTAATTTACTTCAGAAAAAGTTCGTTTGTAATCACGCCCAATTGATGAATGACAATCAAAATATTATTATTACCCGAACTTGTCCTTTAGGGCTGTATAAATGTTATACAGTGTTATATTTACTTGCTAACTTTTATTTTATGGAGTAATAACTCATATATACTCTGGATAAAAGGAAATGCAAAAGTAGTAAAATCGTAAATATCTAACAGAGTGAAACCGGCATGGCATCCGTACTGAATTAATACCCAAAATGAATTTGCCATTTCTGCATGAGCTGGGATTGATTTGTGTGGAAAGAATGAGGTAGTGAAAAAATTAGTGAAAAGATGGAAAATCGCAAAAACACACCCACGTGAGAGCCTGGCGCCGAAACACATCAACATGACATGCACGTGCAACATCACTTTTGGGGCTATGAAAACGTTGGGTTTTCATTTCAATGACATCACAATTTAACAGCGAAAACATGCCAGGACTGACGGAAGTCCAACGCAACAACGCCATCGCCCGACTTCAAACAGGAGAATTATCTTCAGCTGTAGCAAGGTTTTTCCACGTAGCACTAAGCACCATTAAAAAACTATAGAACCGTTATCATACACACGGGACCTTTCCAGATCCTGACGACAACGTGTCACTACTAGAGTAGATTCCCAAGGCTACGTCACTTAAGTGAAAGAACCACCACGCTAGACTAACATCTAGTCTCTGAAATGAACATATCGTACAGAAAAAACAGCTGTTCAGTTCAGATTGCGTAGGACATCAGCCCAGACAGTGGGGAACCGTTCACGCGCTGAAGGTATTCGCGCAAGACGACCGGGTGTCATTTTGACGGACCTGCATCGTTGCCTGCAACGTTAATGGTTGTCAAGGTCACAGAGTACTGCGATGAAGACACGTTTCGTTTAGTGACGGGTCACGTTTTATGCTACGCTGTGCAGATGGTAAACGTCGTCTTTTCCCGGCGTCGCGAGGAAGGTTATGCAAGAAACTGCAAACAGGAAGAGGACAGATTTAGTGGTGGTGGTGTGGTGGTGGTGTGGTGATGAGGGCAGCCATCTCCTTCACTGGTACAGCAGACTTGGTGCAACTTCTGCGGAATTTAACGGCAGAACGTTACACGGATGAAAGGTTCTTCAGTCACACGTCCTTCCCATTACGCAACAAGCGAACGTCATTTTACAGGACAATGCCCGACCTCACACGGCAAGACAGACAGCTTTTTCAGGAATCACAACATCCAGGTCCTGCCATGGCCCAGGTCTCTAGATTTAAACCCAATCGAACATTTATTAGATGCACTGGAACATTGCTGCGAGCACGTCAGCAACAAACAGAACACAGCAACAACCACAGACAGTTCGCAAGCGCTGCAGGCAGAGTGGGTGAACATTCCCAAAGCCACAATTCGGGATCTGATTGCTTCCATGGGACGATGATGTCAATCAGTTTTAGACTCTACTGGTGGCCATACAAGATATTGAAATGACCTTTCACCTAGAAAATCTACTGTTCCATGTGTGCCATATGGAACCTGGGTTAATGACAATGATGTGTACCAATTTTGAACCATCGATTATCATCTGTTGATTATTTATATGATTACATAAATATATTTATATCTAATATCACTTTTGAGGGTGTTTAGAAAGTATTTTTATTGTTGAAATTTTGTATCCAATCAAAGGTAACCGTTTTACATTTCCTTTGCTTCGTTCACAAAGTTATTTCCTTTGCGCATTTTTGAGACGTTGATCTCAAATTAGTTTAGATTTTTAAACAAACAACAATTGATTGGGATGACCAAGTTCGTTGGTGCAGCTTACATCTTCTAGCCGGAAATCAGCACATGACAAGTTTTAAGACAATTGCCCATCCATTCACCACTTCCTTCCAAGAATTACGCATACCAATAGTCAGCAAGTTGGGAACACATACACAGGTACAGAGCAGGAGATACTGAAACAACACAATGCACTGGTGTGGGACTAACGTCCGATCATAAACAGGAAGTTATCCTTCACAGATATGGACTCTTGTTCGTCTTCCAGTCCATGTTGCCGTCTTAATCTCAGCCACGCACGCGAGGGCATCACAGAAGCTTTAAAACGCTGAAACAATAGACAGACATAAAACAGTTAATGCGTCAAACACGATGTCACTCAATAACAGTGAGTGAGTGAGTGAGTATGGTTTTACACCGTGTTTAGCAATATTCCAGCAAGATCACGGCGGGGGACATCAGAATGGGCTTCACACATTGTACCCATGTCGGAAATCGAACCCGGGTCTTCGGCGTGACGAGCAAACGCTTTAACCACTAGGCTACCCGACCGCCCCTCATTCAATAACAAGATAGACCATATACAAATGTGATGTTGTCCCAATAACACATGGTAAGTATAAAACGTTATACTGAATCCATACTTTACACAAAGAATTATCAGTCACGACATATTATGTTACCATTAAACTACTGGTAATCAAGGATGAGCAACTCACAAAACACGTTTGAGAAAAGTTGGTTCTAAAAGTCGTTTGATAGAAGTTAATGTCAAAGCAATGTTACATTCTTAGGCTCGATAATGTCATAGATTACTTGGAGAAAGAATGTATAAATACATCTCAAGCATTGAGTGAGTGAGTGGGTTGGGTTTAACGCCGCTTTTAACAGTATTCAAGTTATATCATTCAGTGTCAGCTTTATGTGGGAGGAAAGCCTGATGCAGTGATGCAGGCCTCAGACGTTTACCTCTGGTGAAACCCACGAGCACGGGTATGGTGCTGACAAACCTAGAAACATAATCGGGGCAAACCGGAATTCGAACCCACAATCATGGGTTTCTGGCGTGCCCAAGGGACGCAACTCTGCTTAGCGAATCGCGGCGTCTTGCATGACTAGGCCACCCATGCCACCCATGCCCCCCTGCATTGTCAAGAGCTACCATTGCCAGCGGTCTGTCAGTAGCTACGCTACAGGGCAATACAGCACAAGGTATCAAACGTGACAAAGGCGAGAGTTGTTGCATTAGCCCAAGTTTGTCGCGAAATCGTCCCGTGATCAAATTCCAACTTGATGATTTCGACGAGTCCGCTGTTCGCCAATGTGTACACAATTCATATGTAGTGTGAACAATCTGCCAACCGACAGTATAAAAATCTGACAGTATCTATGACATGTTCAAACCTGATTTGAAGTAAGACGGTTCTAGCTGGAGAAAGCTTACGGTTATATCAAAAACACATAGGATTTAAATGGCGTAAAACGCAGTCAAATCGTAAGGTGTTAATGGAACGGAAATATATTTATGCAAAGCGCATGCAGTACTTCCGTGCAATAATAAAAAAATACCGATAACCGGCCAATCATTTTTACTGATGAAAAGTGGTCGTATTTTCACCACACTGTCCCAAAATGACCCATTTTGAGGCACAGGAACTCGATGATAGCGTGTATAGCATAATATATTCGTATAGAAAAAAAGCACACCCCTCTATAAACATATAGACAAGGAGTGACACCCGGTTGTTTTAAAATAAATACGAGGTAAGGTGACCACAGATGAACACGATTATTTAGCCTATGGTTTGTTTCGCAAGTTCCAATAGGTTGAAATAAGTGACATTCATATATCATGCGATAATGAGCTATGATTCGATCCGAGTGCGAAATCTTGATTAAGAACCACGATGGCGGGTGTCACTCCTTGTCTACATGTATATAGAGGGGTGTGATATTTTACTATACGATTATACTATGCTATACAGGCTATGAGATATCAGATATTAGAATGTAAAGACTACTGCTATGGTTATCCAGTTATTTCAATATATTTCCAGTTAGCAACCTTACGTTTACAGTATGTTGAAACCCCACAAACAATCTAATGGGGGTAAGTACGGGACATGTCATTGAGTCACCTATTACTACGTTAAGGTCTCAACCATCACAACGAATGACATGCCACTATTCATTATTGCGCTCGTGGGTGAAAAGTATTCCATTTCTACAACAAATGAATTTCCTTCATTGTCACGATACTTCTCAATTGTTGTTTATATATGTAAATTTGCTGCCACCGTTTCCACAGTCATCGGGTACCTATTCAACTCGCCACAAGAACTCGCTGTAAGCCGAGACAGGACATGCAGATAGTCATCGTACAACATGTCACGGACCACCCATTACCCCTTGTTTCACAATGGTATGTGCAAGTAGGCAGCCATCCTACAAAGTCATACGAGGTTAAGTGTCAGGTCACAACTCAACTTATCCTGGCTTACCAGTAGTATATTAGTATATAATTGGTGACAAGTGTGCAACTTATTCGCCTGCGTGGATACTGTATAGAAGTCGTGAAATTCAAAGAGAAAGGATCAATTAATAACGTTGCACCACATAAATACATATTACAGTAAACTACGGTTATGACGAACTCAAAGGGACTACTAATTTTAGTTCGTTATAACCGTAGTTCGTTATAGGCATATACACAGCATAACTACTGCAAATAGTTGGGACCAAAAAAGTGTGTTCGTTATATCCGTCAGTACGTTATAAGCGTGTTGGTTATAACCGTAGTTTACTTTACTTGATTATAAACATACAACTGCGTTATGTAATAGTTAACGAAACATGGGCAAATGAGAGGTGCCACCTGTCGATACCGTTGACTCTTGACACCACGTGAATAAAGTCTGTAAAGTTTGATAGGAAAACCTATTTTAATCAGACGTCTTTTTCTATCTTTGCAACGACGTTTCAGACCTACTTGTAGCCTCTTCATAAGATACATATTTATAACATGATAAAGGGACCAAAAGTAGCCCTGAAACGTCTTTGCAAACAAGAAGTTGTTGACCTTACATAATCACCCGAGGAAGGGATAAGAAATTTCAAACAAGAAGTTGTTGTCCGTACATAATCACCCGATGAAGGGATAAGAAATTTCAAACAAGAAGTTCATCAAAGTTTCATGTCTTCATGATGCAACCTTGTATTCTGAATAACATTCATAAGAAATCGCTGTTAAAAATCGAGTCGATTGTACGATTCCGACAATATCATGAGCATATGTTTATGATTCACTATCAAGTAGTTCTACTGTTTTCAGAACACCCACTTCACCAGCTACATATTTTCTCCACTCTTCATGATGAAAATATGTAAAATATTTGTTGTTGTTTCTTGTTTTTGTCGCAGGTAAATCAGTACAGTATGTACATATTCGAGCGTTGGCCAGGCACACCAGTGGTCGATATTATGAACAACGTCCCATGCCATCATAGCTTGATACACATCAACCAATTCTGGCCACTAAATCCAATCGGCCCTTTCGAGAAGCAACAGTTTCCTGGGACCCATTCTACACTGGGTCTAATCACGCGAAAACGTCTCTTTGTGCTTTTCACAGAATATACTAAAACTATGCACATCTCCCACCTGAACCAGGGATCCTTCCATCTTGAGCATTTGTATGACCATGGTCACTGGGATAGGAACAACCGACACAAGAGCAAGGAACCAGCCGAAGATGACGGCAGACTGGGGATACTCGTAGCCTCCGTAACTTGGAGGAGTGTAGGAAGCCAACGTCAACACCAAAGCTGTCTGCAAAGACATATTTTAGTTACGATCAACATTCTGAAGTTGCTTTTTTCATCCAGAAGCGAATATGTGGAAGTTCGATTCACATATTAAGTTAAATAGATCACACTCGGTCGCTTTCAGGGCAATACTAAACCACTATGATCACTGAATTGAAAGTTGAAACAGATTTCAAAAATAAATAGTTTACGCTCTTTGGATTTGTTTATGCAAATGTGTGGTTTTGGCCAAAAAGACATAACAGTAAGGTTGCTATTAACCACTGACAGTGAGGCATTCCGAGGGACGATAAGCCAATTGGATTCGAAATAGTTGTCTTAGTAAAATCAAATACTAGAATAATTAGACATCAAAGCACCTACAGTCAAGAGAGCAGGGACGATGATGAAACATGCTACTCTGTAGATCACAGGCAGGCGTTTCCCAATCATCATTTGAACATCAGCAGAGAAACGCTTGACACCTGTCAAATACATTATTTTTTATATTTTTTATGTGATATGTTTCGTGTGAGAATAATATATACAAAACATGTTGTGCAATACCACACAAACGCTTCCCTTACAGCTACCTTTAAGTGATCTAGCCAACGAGGTGAAACGAGGTTTGAAACGTTTCGAAGAGTGGGTAAAGTAGTTTACCTCAGGATCCTCAACATACGATCGAAGCATGCATGGTTGGTTTGTTTGTTTGTTGTTTAACGCCGCACTCAGCAATATTCCAGATATATGACGGCGGTCTGTAAATAATCCAGTCTGGACCAGACAATCCAGTGATTAATATCATGAGCATCGATCCACGCAATTGGGATCGATGACATGCATCAACCGAGTCAGCGAGCCTGACCACCCGATCCCGTTAGTCACCTTTTACGACAAGCATAATAGCCTTTTACCGCAAGCATGGGTTGCTGAAGACCTATTCTACCCCGGAATCTTCACGGGTCGAAGCATGCATGGAATACTGTGCATACATAGTCATTTTAACAGTAAAAACAAACACATTCATGTATGTTATTGTTTGCCTTGTTTTGACTTTGCCAATCCGAGCAGAAATTCTGATTCATATGCATACAGAAACAGATACACAAGAAGGGAAGCGCAATTAGTTGCCATGGGGATGCCTTCTTCTTGCCTAAAAGTCTCACCCCTAAATTTTACATAGATGTTATCAATGAGGAAGTCCAGCATTTCACATACAGTGTTCTCAGTAAACTTCAGACGGCATTTGCTTTCATTTTGGACAAATTGACCTGAACCTCTGAAGATAGATATGTTACTATATCTATGGTCACCATAGGTCTATGGTTTTCCCTTTAGTTTGTCACATGGAAAGTAATGTAAAAGTTGAAAGCTAAAAATGTTTTGTCAGAATTGAACCTGCTTCTTTTCAGAGATTGTTAGTAGACAAGCAAATATTTTTAATATCCACATGGTAGTAATTCCACTGATCTCAATGTGAATATAAAGAAGTCCTTCCATGATTATATTAAAGGATTATGGTTAATCTTTGAGACAGGGATATGGTGGTACATTTGCTGGAAATCTATCTCTCTTTGTACGGAAGCATGACAGCACATATAGCGTAAAGCTGGTATCGTTTATAATAACCTCAAAAAGACCAATTGACTGACTCAATCAATGGCAAATACAAAATTCATTTTGTTATTGCAGAATAAAAAAACAAATTTTCTAAAAACATGAGAAGAATCACTATTGAACATTTTCTCGACTTCAATCTCAAGTAGTAGAATAAAGTTAAACAAAGACAAATTGACTGTGTGTCACTTAATAGGCATGTTCTCAAAGATGTTATACTTTATTTGAAACTGACACTATAGGTTGAATTTTAAATTAAAATTAAAATTAGAAATTAGAACACAGCAATTTTATTTATCATATTAGAAGAGTATTCCAACCGTAACACCATCCAACAGCCACACACTCGAGAACAGCAATGATGTAGCAAGCCACTGCCGCAAAGTACCAGTCAACTAACTGGAAAACGTAGATTCCGCCCTGCAATACATGTATATGTCTTATTGGCATGCACAAAGTATTGTGAATTATACTGCAAAATGTGCTGACACAAATATCATATGTGCGAAAACAAATATTGAATATGGACTAAAGAAAAAGGACACCTCAATTTAAACAGGTGTTCCAGGGCACGCACTAATAGTTGAAAGAGACGATAAATTACTCCAGCCTTTAATAATACTTATATTTTGAAAACTCAATGTGATTTTGTGTCTACAACATGGTACGGTGTACTTAAGGAAAGATGGTTAACGGCGGTGTTGATACAACCCTTTTCTATGTATCCTGGTAAGTATAAGTCATTTATTGGCTTAGTTTAAGCACCATACTTACATGAGTTGTGAAAACAAGGCCAGAAAGGATCACAGCTCCCATGAACACAGCAGCCATGATAGTCTGCAGGTGCTTGATGTGAAATCGCCGTGGCAGTAGATCTTCCAAACAACCGATAGCTGTCTCAACATGCCCCAACTATAATTCATAACAAAACACGCACTTAAACGGAAGTTCGATAAATAGATTTAAGCAATGAAATTCGAACAATCTTGTCATCTTTTACTAAAGCAAACCACGCCTGATTTATGCACTGTGTAATGTAATCTGTGGCCATATAAGGTATTTCTTAACATGCCCTAACTCTAATTCATAACAAAACACACACTTCAACGGAAGTTCGATAGATAGATTTAAGCAATGACATTCAAACATCTTGTAACCTCATATTAATGAATACCACGCCTGATTTATGCACTGTGTAATGTAAACTGTGGGTGCCCCCCATCCCCCACCCCAATATTTACATACAAAATGCATGGCCATATGAGGTATTTCTGAACATGCCCTAACTCTAATTCTAAACAAAACAAACACTTCAACGGAAATTTGATAGATAGATATAAACAATGACAAACCTTTTTTAATGTAATGTAATTTGGGTGGTTTATTTTCAATAATTACATACAAAATGCATGTCCATATATGATATTTCACTTAATATTTGGTTGTCTAGAATATATGGTATTTCAGCTCATATTTGATTGTCTGGTATAATAACTACTTGATAGTGATTCAGAGATTTTGTATAATTATGGAAAGGGGTTTGTCGGCCATATATACCATCGAGTCAACCACCATCATCAGCACTGTTGTAAAGAAGAAGACAGACCACAGTTGAGGGAGCGGCAGTAATGCAACTGCTTCTGGGTAAACGATGAATCCTATGCCAGGACCTACAAGAAAAAAACATCATAACCAAAACCCCAAAATCACAACATTTCGACATCACACAATACTGAACAACACACAGCTTACCTTGTGTGCCAGGTAAAAAAAGAATTTTCACGGGACGTTACACGTTTGACCATAAGATTGGTTTGTTGGTTTGTTTAACGCCGCACATGAAACATCAATATTCAAGTCATTTGACGGCGATCTGTAAATAATCGAGTGTGGACCAGACAATCCAGTGATTGATATGAGCATCGATCCACGCAATTGGGATCGATGACATGCATCAACCAAGTCAGCGAGCCTGACCACCCGATCCCGTTAGTCGCCTTTTACGACAAGCATAGTGGCCTTTAACGGCAAGCAAAGGTTCCTGAAGACCTTTTCTACCCCGGAATCTTCACGGGTCGCCACTCATAGAATAAGGAAGTATGTGTTGTTGCCTGACACCGCACAGCAGTACTCCTGCCATGCGACTGCGGCAATTCTGTACTGCAATTACTATATTAAGACAATTCATTCGGGCAACAATAACCTCACCTGAAGTGACTACATCAGCTACAGGTTGTTGTAAACTATGAGCCAGAAATCCAACAGTTGCAAAGACAACAAAGCCAGCAAACACACTTGTCAACTCGCCAATGACGGTCACGATGATAGCGTCTCTGTTAATGAATGTAAATTCACATTGGAAATTTCACTAATGAGAAGGAAACTTCAAATTGTCTATGTCTTCCTAATTGCGTGGGGCCAGCCGAAGTGAACATACAAAGTGGAATGTAAACCTTATATAGTTTAAGAGGATCAAGAAAGTTATTAATAAATGCTAAAATAGAAAGGTATTCTTCAAATAGAGTCATTAGTAAATACTTATATTGAAAAGTATACGTTCGAGAAAACCCATTGCAACAACGTAACTTTTGTGGCAGACAACTTCTTTCTTTTCCAACAAGACGAAGCATCATCCTGTATTTCTGTTGTGGCCAACAGGTTGAAGTGAAGAAAGAAAACAACTTAAAATCAAACTACAAACATACCTTATGACATTCGAGTTGAATGAATTGTGGCTTGCCATGACAATAAGGGTGCCCCAGGCAGAACCAACAGAGAAGAACACTTGGACCAGGGCTTCTGACCACACCTGTAGATACAATAGGGCGTGTGACATAAAGCGTCCCTTCTATCTGTGTCAGTAACTATATAACCTACATATATTAGAAATACGATCGCAGATATAAACCAGTTGTATCTTAATTTTGGTGAAGATATATTTCACATGAAATCGATACTTGAAAATGTCATTGGTTGCGAATCAGAGTCTTAACTCAGTAGATTGTGTAATAGACTTCAGGGATCAATAACTATCCCGTAATCTCATTTCTTCTTTCATCATATATATCTCGATATCTGCTGAACCAGATTCTAGTGGGAGTAAAATACAAATTCGTGGCGAAATTATGTGAACTGATCACTGAAAATCAGTGATGACATAAAACGTTTTCTCTAGTTACCAATATACAATCATGTATATAAAAAAAGAATAATAATCATCAAGCACATGTATCTATACACAACCAATACCCAATCCAGAAGATGTCATTCTTGAAAGGGTGTCAGATTTTCAGCTATTGTGTAGTTATCAACTGAATCATGGTCAAACATAGATTCACTGAATGAAAAAGCATGTTTGTTAACTGTCTTAACAATAGTAAAATTAGTATGACTTCAACAGACCTGGGGATGCTGCAGACGCGTGAAATCTGGAGTTAGGAAAAAGAGAATACCATCCACAGCACCCGGCATCGTGCACGACCTCACCAGCAACACAAACAGTAGGACATACGGCATCAACGCTGTCACATACACCACCTGTAAAGATGCAATACATTTCATGAATTTTAAGATTACGACGAAGAGAAGAAGCCAAAAAAGAGCTGATAAAATTATTTACTCGTTCATTCAGATGTCTTAAAAGGGATTCAGAGGCATATCATTCATTGATGACATGATGTTCATGTCAGATTATACCCGTGAAGATCTGGGTTAGAATAGGTCTTCAGCAACCCATGCTTAGCATAAAAGGCAACTATGCTTATGCGACTAGCGGGATCGGGTGTACAGGCTCGCTAACTTGATGCATGTCATGGTATCCCAATTACGTGGATCGATGCTCATGATGTCAATCACTAGACTCTCTGGTCCAGACTCGATCAATTACAGACCAACGTCATATAGCTGGAAAATTGCTGAGTGCGGCGTTAAACAACAAACAAAACATGTCAGATTTCCTGTATGTTGCATTGTTTGAAAAATGAATTTTTGTTTGTTTTAACATTGTACGCTAACGTTATCGTTCTGGTGGTAACTGTGTGTTTGTTTGTTGTTTATGCACTTAGCAATATTTCAGCTTCATGACGGCCATATACGACCCGTTCCCGTTAGTCGCTTCTTGCGACAAGCATTGCTTGCTGAATGTCAATTCTAACCCGGATCTTCGCGGATATGATGGAAACTAAACATATTTATCAGATTTAATGTCAAAGAAGAACAAATTGATGTCACCTTTCCAAGGGACTTGATTCCTTTCATGATACACAGGAAGAAAGCAACACATGTGATGAACCAGCAGATCACGAGATGTGGTTGCATCGCGCCGAGGTCATCTATTCCTGTCGAAACACCTAGAGCCTTGTTCCTGGGGACGTTATGGCACAGCATACGTGTACAGACGTGATAAAGCATAGGCATTCAGTTTATATCATTAAACGTTCAATACTTGCCAAATAGCTAATTCCCTTCCACCGATTTACCCACCTAAACTAGCAAAGAAGACCGGTAAAAACGTTTCCTCTGTTTCAAAGTTTTTAAACCTGTACCATGTGGTCCCGTGCTTATCCAGTTCAAAAGAGGAATGGGGCATGTTTTCAGGTTTTAGAGTCAGGTCAGACGTTTTGGCCGATTACATCCTCAGTTAAGATATGGCATATGTGACATTATTTCATATGTCCCTAAAACCAAGCTCTTTGATCAAACAAGTAATACTGTGATGCTTACATGTATGTAATGGTCATATTTATGAGGCCTTGTCGGTGGGAACAACTATATATATATCTCACGCAGGACAGCCAGACTTTGGATAACACTTGACTGGGACAGAATGGATTTATTCCAATTATGTTACTTCTCTTTCTGTTTGTGCATTCTACCAATGATAACATCGCGTACAGTCTTGACCCACTCTAAAAGACATTCGACTTCTCTTTCGGGGCCTTTTTATTTTGCATGTGCTTCGACAGCAAGGGTAATGATTTTGAAGTTGTGGTCCCAAATGGTAGGAGGCTGCTGACGACATGTTGTCAATATGTCCATATTTGTGTAACAGACGACGGTTGCTATTGCCACCAATAGAGAAGTCATCTGTGATTATATGACCAACACAGGTTGGTAGCAGTATGATAAGTCTTGGGAGCCACAAATAGTTGAATTTACATCATGAGCTGCCATGTCAAAGTTGTCCGTTATAATTGAACAACTAGGAAAACGAACTGTGGGTGGTCCATGAAATTTGAAATATTGTTGGGCATTTTGGGAAACTTATCTTTGTAACGTAAGTTTAAGGCATCAGTTTCCTTGTTAGCAAATTTTCAATTCAAGAACAAGCGGTCTTTGTATCATTTAGTGGATTACGTTTATGGTTTGTCCAAACGGTTCAAAGCAACAACAAGACATATCCTCTCTAGTCGATAATGTGGGCTTTTTCTGTTTGTAAACGCATCCATCAGCAAAAGTTGCTGGAGTCGTTTGATTTCCTTCAACGACAAAGAGTATGGCCTTGTTCTTAATTTGAGCAGCCCCAATGGTTCCTGAACGAACGAGAAGCAACAAATCTTCCAAATGAATGGTATCATTTGGCTTCGTCCTTTCTTGTGACCATGGCTGCTTGGAAATCTTTGCAATGCCAGACTCAATACATTGCTGTTTGCAGTTCGTTGGTTATAATATATATTGTTCCTTAAAATTAGGATACGTGCAAACTTGCAGAAATGGTAGAAATTGTTGGATGTTCTACCAAAAACTAATTTATGCAATACAAGTATGCACGTTTATTGGTACAAGGGGTTGTTTCAGTGTGTGCAAAAAAGGAGTGAGTGAGCTGGGTTCAATGCCGCTTTGAACACTATTACAGTTATGCCATGACGTGTCAGCGTAACTTTTGAGTAAAGCCAAACGTGATTCAGGTCTCTGACTTTTACAACTTTGGTGAAACCCACGATCACGGGTATGGTGCTGACATACCGAGAAACATAATCAGGGCGAACGGTGATTCGAACCCACGATCCTTAAATGAAAGGAAAATGAGACGACGGAAGATAGGTTTTTGTTTAAAAGACAACTGGTTAATCATGGTAATAATAGTAAACTCACTGCCAGAACTCCTCTGTTGATGTATGGCCAAAAATATTCGAAGCTTTTTGAGTTTTGTTAAACTTCGCATGGCCAATGCTCACAGTTGTATGTGGTGTAGTGACGTTTCCTTGAGTTGGTTTTATGTAAATTGAACTATTTACTCCATTGTCGCCTACAACCATACACAAAGGTGTGTTCCAGGGATTGTCACACGTGGTCCAGGGGAGGACGGCTGAGAAGGAGTTGTAGATGTAGTAGAGGGCCCAGGCAAACACCACGCTGTAGTACGGGACGATGATACAGCTAACGGCTAGTATGCAAAATCCAAGACCTAGACACACAGTAAATGCATCATTACTCATAGATAGTTTATTCTATTCATGTATATGGTACATAACGTGTATGCGATACTAAGGCCTACTAAAGACAACCAGCAGAAGGCTACCAAACTATGGAACATGTACGCATCCTAAATAGAAACAGTCAGAGAAATTTCAAAGACACATTCCCAAAAAGTTTGCATCGTAATAATAAGAAACTCACACCTTTGTAATGGAACCTGTCCTAGTAAATCACGCAGCGTGTAACAAGTGCTTGTGGTCTGCGAAGTTGCAGTGTATCCTGTACCGTTATAAGTGCTAATTCCAAACAGATCGTTTACTTACATGTAAACTTGTCATTACCTGTCATGAGTGGACATATTGCCCAAATCTTAATTGGCCCTTTTGCAGAAAACTGTCCAAGAGAAACCTCCAGGATGAAGAGCGGGACGGCCAACACGGCTGTTGAGATGATATAGGGAATCAGGAACGCCCCTTAAAGAAAAAGTGATGCAACAGCTAATCCATCATTCAACAAGTTTCCTGGGTGTGGTTCCTAATGTGGTGCTTATCATTTTCTTGTAGTAGAGTTTTCCAAATTTAAAGATACTAATTGACATTTCTCCATCGCCTTTGACACAATAATGAATTGCACATGAATTACGTGCTCATGTATCATACAATCGTACAGTCGGAATCGTACAATCGTTTTCCTATGAAGTGAAAAGGTTGTTTGTCACTTCAATTTACACATCATTGTCCAATGATCATCACATACATGAAGATACCACGTTTACAATCACGAACAATCAACTTAATACACAATACACTGTACCTACCGCCTCCATTCTTTTGACAGATATAGGGAAACCTCCAGAGGTTACCAAGTCCCACAGAGTAACCAAGAACTGCAATAATACCCTGGAACTTGTTGGACCAT